GCTCTTTCTCACATTCTGTGTGGTATGTGTTGTGGTCTGTCTGTCTGTCTGTCTGTCTCTGGTAAGCACATGTACCCTATAGCAAAAATTTATAAAAAAAAATAATAATAATCACTGCCAAAAAACGCTGACAATCATCTAAACCTGCAGCAAATCATAATCCTTTTCCTGGGAGGGTCTTGCCTAGAAGTTGATGTTGCTGACTGGGGTGAGAGTTACTGAAGGTTGGGGTGGCTGTGGAAACTTCATAAAATAAGACAACACTGAAGTTTGTCACATTGCCTTTTATGAAATATTTCTCTGAAGCATGAAATGTTGTTGATAGCATTTTACCCACAGAGAACTGCTTTCAAATGTGGAGCCAGTCCTCTCAAACCCTGCCATTGTTCTATCAACTAAGTGTATGTACTATTCTAAACCCCTTGTTGTCATTTCAATAAAATTCACAGCATCCTAACCAGGAGTAGAATCTATCTCAAGGAACCACTTCCTTTGTTGACCTATCAAAAGGAGGACTCTATTTGTTTAAATTTCTTTTTTTCTTTATTCATGATAGAGGGTATGTGTGTGTGCATGCACATGCTTGTGAGAGAGAGAGAGAGAGAGGGAAAGGAGTATCCTCCATAGCATCTAATTCCCTTCCTCCATTCTTCCAGCCCACTGAATCTTAGTCGCTCACACATGACATGTTTCAGGCTGACCAGATGGAGCATGGAACATGCAAACTGTGGTCACCATGAAGGATCCAGCTTCTCCTGAGCAGTGCATTAGCACCATGCCACAGAGCTGACCCTCCTTCAAGTTCAACCATGAAATTTCAGCAATTCAGTCACGTCTTCTGGCACTACTTCTAATTCTGGTTCTCTTGCTATTTTCACCACATCTGCAGTTACTTCCTCCACTAATGTCTTAAACCTCTCAAAGTCATCCATGAGTGTTGGAACCGATGTCTTTTAAACTTCTTTTAATATGGTATTTTGACCTTCTTTCATAAATCAGAAATGTCCTTAATGGCATCTAGAATGAATCTTTTCCAGGAGGTTTGTCATTTATTTTGCCCAGACTCATTAGAGGAATCACCATCAATGGCAGCTATAACCTTACAAAATGTATTTCTTAAATGACAAGACTTGAAAGACAAAATTACTCTTTGATCTATGGGCTGCTAAATTGACGTTATGTTAGCAGGCATGCAAATAATGATATCCTGGTATATTTCTATCAGGGCTCGTGTGACCAGGGATACTGTCCATGAGTGGTAATATTGTGAAAATAATGGTTCTTTTTTTTTTTTCCCTGAGCAATAGGTACTAAAGGGTAGGCTTAAAATATTCAGTAAACCATGCTGTAAACAGATGTGCTGTCATCCAAGCTTTGTTGTTCCATTTAAAGAGCACAGGCAAGATAGATTTATCGTTATTCCTAAAGGCCCTAGGGTTTTCAGAATGGTGAACAAGCACTGGCTTCACCCCAAAGGCCCTAGCTAGCTTCATTAGCCCCTAAAGAGAGAAAACAGCCTTTTTTTGGAAGCTTGGAAGGCAGTCATTGACTTCTCTTCTCTAGCTTCAAAAGTCCCAGATGAAACCTTCCTCCAAATAAGGCTGTTTTGTCCGCGTTGAACATTTGTTGTTCGAGGTGGGTGTGGGGGGGTCTTCACGTTCATCAATTATCTTTGCTGGATCTTCTGGGTAACTTGGTGCAGTTTCTACATCAGCACTTGTGGCTTCACCCAGCACTTCTATTTTATGGGAATGGCTTCAGTCCTTAAACCACTTGAGTCAGTCTCGGCTAGCTTCAGACTCCTCTTGCGCAGCTTCCTTGGCTCTCTCAGCCATCACAGAATGGAAGAGAGCTCAGACCTTGTTCAAGACTTGACTTCGGCTGAAGGGAATGTTGTGGTTAACTTGATCTCTTATCCAAAGCACTAAAACTTTTCATATCAGCTACAAGGCTGTTTTGCTTTCTTATCATTTGTGTGTTCACTGCGTTATTACGTTTCATTTCCTTCAAGCACTTTACCTTTGCATTTACAACTTCACTATCTGCGAAGTTGGAGACTGAAACTAAAAGTGAATAGCAGATTTGAACTGAATTCTAAAGCTTTTATGTACATACCTACCTATTAATACATTATACATATTGAACGCATCTAATCCACAGGAGTCCCAGCCTACTATAGCTTTTGACATGCCTTCCTGACTAAGCTCGATTATTTCAAGCTTTTGACTTGAAGGGTGGAGACAGTCAAGATTTCCTTTCACTTGCACACTCAGAGGCCATTGTAGGGTTATTAATCGACCTAATTTTAATATTATATCTCAAGGAATAGGGAGACCCTAAAAGAGAGAAAGAGGCCAGGAAACAGAGCAATCAGAACAACCACATTCGTGAATTTGCCATTTTATGTGGTCGTGGGTCGTCATGTCCAAAAGAATTGCAACAGTAACATTAAAATGCATTGACCACAGATCACACAAGATAGAATAATAATTTAAAAAGTTTAAAACTTTGTGAAAACTACCAAAATGTGATACAGAGACATTAAGAGAGCACATGCTGTTAAAAAAACAGTGATGAAAGATTTATTTAGTACAAAGTTGCACATCTGTTTACAGCATGGTAAAATCTTCACTTTGTACACAAGTGCAGTGTCTGTGAGGCACAATAAAATGTTATAATGCCTGTATTTAGATGTGGACTATATACAGTTTAAAGTGTTACATTTAGTGCCAGCAGGTGGCATGATGGTTAAGGTTCTGGACTTCCACATGGCTGACCACAGTTTGAGTCCTGGAATAGGCAGCTTGAAAGTCACACCACACATATGTGCATGAATGCCCAAAATCTCAAGAGGAAAATGGAGAAGGGGCTGTGGTGTGACCATCCTCCCTGGGGAGTGATTTCTCACTTTCCCTCTCTCTGTCCCTCTCTGGCATACACATACTCCCTGTGCCAAAAACCTACGAAAAAAAAAATATGAAAATGTTATACATAATTTCTAGCATTTGTGCATGCACTTGGTCCCTCATATAATCACTTAAAAATGTGTGCTTAACCCTTTGACCTAGAATTATCATAACAAAACAAAATAAGGACTATCAACATACAATAATTTCTGAATTTATATCAGTTCCACTTTTAGTCTGTGCAGAAACATTTAAGCATCTTCACTGGAACAGAATGATAAGAGGATCTTTAGAGCAGTTTTCAAGAAAGATACAATTGGATTTTTAAGAAATAAGCATGGTGATATATTTAGCATGTCCAGCAAAACCAAGTACTTTTGGGGGTAGTAATAATAGTTAGTAAATCTTGCTATATTAGAATTATTGCCTACCTAGTGTGGTATCAAGATGTTCTTTTGTTAAAGCATTGTCTTAAAGCATCCTTTTTAATATTTAGGAGATGCTATTCCATCTTTTGGGGACATCCTATCTACCTACATATAAAGGCAATCCAAAATATTTTGTATGCCTTGTAGCTTTTCCTCTGGTTATGGAATAAGAAGCACCTACATACAGTCTTTTGACTATGACATTATCAATATTCTATACTCACAATGCTCCAAGTCTCATGAAATTTTTATTTATCTGTTTTTCCAAGAAGTTTGAGATTGAAACTAAAAGTGAATAGAAGATTTGAACTGAATTCTAAAGCCATTATGTACATACCTACTTATTAATACATTATATGTTTTGAATGCTTATAATACACAGGCACCATGTTAAATTTGGTATATACATTTTCCATTTGAGGGTCTCAAATTCCAAAGGTAGCGAATCTACTATTCTTATATTGGAGGACAAGAAATAAGTCTACATGAAGTAACTTTACCTTAGATTTCACCTCGCAATAAATAATGAAACCAGAAGGGCAGATGAAGCAGTCTGACTTCGAAAACCAGGTTGTTCAAGTAGCTGAAAATACAGAAAGGATCTAAAAAAAAATCAAGTGAAATTAAAAAAAAAATGTGCTATTAGAATACTATTTCTGTATGTTATTTAATTCAATATTTCTAATCTCCATATTGCAATGGATTATGATAAGTATAAAGACATAAAAAGTCCTTCTTACTTCTTGAATTAAAAATGTTAGGAAAAAAAATACTTTGGGGACCAGCAGACGACATTATGATTAGGTCGCTGGACTCCCAATGTAGTCAATCACAGTTTGAATTCTGAACCTGGAGACTTAAAATATGACAGGCATGTGTGCGTACATGCCCAAAATCCAGAAAGGAAAATGGAGGAGAAGGGATTGTGGTGTGGCCATCCCCCCCGGGGGGGGGTGGGTGGGGGTAATTTCTCACTTTCTGTCTCTTTCTCTCTAGTGAGTGCACATGCTGTTTAGCAAAAATCTCTCTAAAAGAAAAAAAAAAACTTTTTTTTTTTTTGGAGAGATTTTCACTGTAGGGCGCATGCACTCACCAGACAGACAGAGAGACAGAAAGCGAGAAATCACCCCCCAGGGGGGATGGTCATGCCGCAATCCCTTCTCCTCCATTCTCCTCTGGGGATCTTGGGCACGCACGCACACGCGCCTGGCGTGAGTTTTAAGCCACCAGGTCCGGGACACGAACCGCGGTCAACTACGTGGGAGTCCAGCGACATAGCCATTATGCTAACTGCTGGTTCCCGAGAAAAAAAAAAAACAACTTTTAAACAAAATTTCAAAATTTTACATAGTATAATTTTTTGATAAATGAGATAAGATTTACTGAATTTAAAGCATTATGTTTAAACTAAATATGAATAATAAACAAGTTCTTATTTTTAATTATTATATAGAGCTTTGAATTTATTTGTCACTTAAATAATGTATCACAGGTCTGAATATATAATGTTATTTTATTTTTGCAAACTCAGATTTCTCATTGCATCCAAGAGCTCATAACTGAGTATATCTTTCTGTTCTCTTTGAAAACAGAGGGAAGATGGGACAGAATGGTCAAGAACCTGTAAAACAGCCAGGAATCGGAGTAGGACTGGCAGACACTGAAGGTAAATTAAAATTTACAATATTGGATTTTGGTTGAATCTCATCCTAGTAGTGTTATTTGGATATACATATTAGAAATGTTTGAATTGTTTTTCTTTAACATAAATTTAAATGTCTAAAACTAATAGCAAAATCACTAGGTAGTAAGTGATCATTTTCTATTAAAGAAAAATAATTATGTAGTAACTTTATAATTTCTCACTTTTTGCATTTATATCTAACTTGGGGTTCTAAATTTTAAAAAATAGAAGAATAGGAAGATAACAGAGAGAAAAATATTTTTAAAGAATAAAAAATAAGACTTTCTCAAGGAAAATAATCTTTTTTCAAATTTTAAAAAATGTTTTCTTCAATATATAAAAGTAGAAGTGAATCACGAAACCTCTTTTATGTCAATGAAAATTCTTAAATGTACGAAGATGGAAAGAGACTCATGATATACAAATCATATCATAAAATATTAATTATTTTTTTATAAAAAGGGAACCAGCAGTTAGCGTAATGGCTATGTCGCTGGACTCCCACGTAGTCAACTATGGTTCGCGTCCCGGCCCTGGTGGCTTAAAACTCACTCCAGGCACGTGTGCGTGCGTGCCCAAGATCCCGAGAGGAGAATGGAGGAGAAGGGATTGCGGCATGGCCACCCCCCCGGGGGGGTGATTTCTCGCTTTCTGTCTCTATGTCTCTCTCTGTCTGTCTGGTGAGCACACGCGCCCTATAGCGAAAAACCTCTCCAAAAAAAAAAAAAAAGATTAATTATTGAGCTAACTTCTAGCATAAAAACTAAATTTCTCTTACTGAACAATTAGTAAAGAACTACAAGATACAAAACTACCTTTAAGTTCTTTAGCAAACACATGATAAGAATATCAATAAGCAGCACAATAACTAGCTTATATTTTATAATTTGACAGAGCCCCTTTTATCCACTACACATGCATTCTGAGACCTTCGGTGGAGGCCTAAAACCCTATATAGACCGAGTGCAAACCCTATATAGACCGAGTGACAAATGAGCAGGAGGCATATACAGTTTGAGGACACTAGGCAAAGGAATAATTGATGTCCAAGGCAGAATGGAGCAGGACAGTACAAGATTTCCTAACCTACTTAGAACGGTGCACAACTTAAAGCTCACAAATCGTTTATTTCTGTAGTTTTCCATTTCAGTTTTCAGACCTCAGTTGGTCATATGTCACTGAAGTTGTTAAAGCAAAACCACGGAAAGTGAAACCACACTGTAATGTGATAAAACCTGGTAGCTCTGCTCTCCTTCATGAATTGCAACAACCTCTCAGTAATTTTAACTATTCTAAGTGCTTGTACTATTCTAAGTTCTTTTCATGTATTATCTCATTGAATTCTTAAAATTACCTACAAGGTAAATAATATCATACACTGGTTTTACATAAAAAGAGACTGAATTGCAAAGATCACATAAGATTAGAACAAATGGCTTCAACTCAGGAAAATGACACCAAATATCGTGCAATGAAAAAACATGATTGTGGACATAGTACCATAATGGTAAGGGAAGAGGAGGACTGGCTTTCAATTCTGGTCTATTACCAGGCATGTGACCTGCTTGCCTATCAGCAGATATTTAATCAGACAAATATTAGGTCTAGGTGATAACTAGATTTCCTCATTATAAGTATCACATTTTTCTGGTTCAACTCAAAATTCTCCTTTTTTTCTTTGAACTCATCCAAATGTTGTCCCTCCTCTATCTGTTGCCATGTTCTCCAGGGTCCTATCCTCAATCCACCAGTCCTTCCATCATCATAATTATATAGTAACTTTATAATTTCTCACTTTTTGCATTTATATCTAACTTGGGGTACTAAATTTAAAAATAATCGAAGAATAAGAAGATAACAGAGAGAAAAAAAAATTTCTTGGAGACTCTCTCCTATAGGTTGATTATTCCCAAGTCTAACAATCCATAGAATTCAGATTCAATTAATGTCTAGCAAGCATTTCCCACCTCCTATCCCCAACCAAGAAAATAGAAACCACTCTCAATATTTAAAATAAAGGAAATAACCTGGGCAGAAATCGATTATATTATCATGGAAGAGACTGGGAAACTAAATAGTGAATCTTGGAGCTGCAGAAAGAAGCTATTGTTCCTATAGACTGTAGGCCAGTGACAACTGAAACCAGGGGAAGCAGAAGACAAGGAAGAGACATAACAAATGGTAGAAATCTCTAAGACAGACAAGAATGGGGAGAAATATTCTGGTTTCTCCCTTCTTTCTATTCTCCAATCTCGTCCAGCATTCGATCAAATCTAGCTGGAAGCAGTGACAGGAAAGAGGAGCCTAAGAAACAGTCTAGGGAGTAGCTACTCTAAGAAAAGAGTATAGAAAGGAGAGAGAACACACTTGAGCAAACATCAACACAAGACTAGCACCATATATCCTGGAAATCCCACAGATGCATCAAACTACATATGCCCTGAACCTAATTTAGTTTCCTCCTCACTTTGCTTCCCTGTCTTCCTCTGCTCTTCTACAAACTAGGTACAAAATCTGCATCTATTTATACAATAATTTGCATACTATATCATTGTTCTCTTACTTAAATTCTCTATTTCTGTATTTCTCTCCTTCATAAGACTGAACGATTCTCAGACCAGAAATGTGGTTTATCTAGGTGTCCCAGAGTGTAGCAGAAAGTCGTACCTATAGAGTTTCTTAAAGAATGTTTGTTGAGTGAATGAATAACCAGGATGATCATATAAAAATTAATGACCAGTCATTTTCAAATGACTGTAGAATTCAGGTACATAGAGAAGTCATTAATATGTACTTTCAGCTACTTAATTTTGCTGTTCTTTTCATCTTAATGTTTATAAGTAAATGGTTTATAAGTAAAATGATTTCAGTATAAATGCCAACAGCTGTCAATGAATAGAAATTGTTCACCCTAATTCTGCTTTCTTCTCTCCTATCAGTCCCACACAAAACATGCTTGTTTTCCAAAAAGAGGCCAATCAGAGGCTACTTTATTTTTATTTAAACTATGAGTCAATATGTTTAGACTTTAGTGAACTGACCCTGATCAACAGTTGATCTGGGATTAGTTATTGAGCATGGGGGTGAGGGTTGAGGATAGGAACAAGATGGAATATGTATCGCAATGTGAATCATATATAGTCATGTGCCCTGCTGGTAGAAATATTTGGAGGAATTGTTTTTGATTGAGTTACTGCTGACATTTTGACAGTAATCGAATACATAATTTACATATCTATATGGAGTTGGCTGTATTATTTCTGTAAGAGATATATGAGATAGCAAGTAATATGGAGAAAAACTGCAATTAGTATTAAATTTTAGGAACAATTTCAACTTAGAAAGATAAAGTGAGAAAATCTTAGATTAGGAATGTTTAAGTACATGAAAGATATCAATTTAAAGTGCACAATTTTGTTTTGTCCCAAAGAAATATATTAATAGAATCAACTTTGTGTTGTACTTGGGGTACACATATGTCTGATCCAAAAAGTTGGTTCCACTTCCTTTTATTGACAGTCAATATACACAGCCAATTCAAAGTCAACGAACAAAACGGTCATTTTACCTAGTTTTTAAACAAAATACATAGTTTCTTGATTTAATTTTCCTCCTTTCAATTCCTTTTCAGCACCACAAAACAGTCTCTTCATAGATAAGAACAGGTTGTTTTTTTTAAAAAAAGTAGATCTTTGTAATATTCCAGTTCATGTTGAGTATTTCATATTATTCTACTAACACTTTGTTTTATGAACACCTTGATGACTCTGAGGGCAATTGATCTACAAAAATTTACAACAGCATACTTTAATCCAGAGTCTATCATCGATGTTAAGTAATCACCTTTGGATGGGGCATCCTCGTAAAATATTTATTCATTCTTGTTTTGGTATTACAGTACGCTATGTTTATGGGGCTGAAAATATCTATTGAGCATGTTATTGAGCATGTTTATAATGCTAAATAGCCATGTTTTTGTTCTATGTATTAATAAGCAATTCTATTTATTCTGGCTTCTGATTTTAAAAATCAATTTTTCACTTAGTTATTTTCTGTAGTAAGGTTTTATCTTCTCTACAGCACTGACTAATCCATTTTAATCTCAGCATGAGACTAATTCAACAAATAGTGTAAGGGTCCAGAGATCAGTTTAACTGATGGAGACGCAGAAAAGACAATGACAATGCAACTGCAAAAGAGGCTTTTATTCTTTTTCCAGCTAGCTGGGGTCCGAGTTTCTGCCCGTCACAGCGGGCCTTCAACAAGATGCCTTATTTCAATGTTCCTGTTTATTTAGGAAACAAAGAATAAATTAGAGAATTAGAGGAAATATTGGGGCAACTTAGCAATTTTTCTGTTTCAGTTTAATTGTTTAAAAAAATCATGAAGGCATTTTCCTTTAAAAATTACAGAAGTTTTATGTAGACCCATGCAAGTTGCCACCACAGCAAGGGTTTTTACCTCAGCCTCCAGATGGGAAAGGAATTTTTGAAGGTGGTGGTAGGGGAGGTGGAGGAGAAGGAAGATGTGGTCATAGAGGCAATGGTCTTAGAAGTGGAAGAGCAGGAGGAGAGGGGATTCAGAGGAGGAAGAGAGAGTGGTAGTCTCACAGGAGGAACACGTTAAGTGCTATAGTTGACAGACTTTCCTGGTGGATTCCTGCATTAATCCATGTGATCTACTTCTGTGGATTAGAACTTAGTATTCTGATCAAGTCTTGAAGATCTGGTCATTTCATGACAGTGTAACTAGGTGTCAACGTCATGCAAAATCAAGTGCAGCCAAATAGTCCATTTTGCTCTAAGAGTAAGAACAAGACTTTCAATGCTTTGTACAGTGCGTATTGTGAATACTTAATAAATGGACAGAAGTCTTATTTATATTTATAAAATGAAGTGTTTTATTCCTGTAAAAAAAAAAATATGTTTCTGAACTATCTGGACTACAACTTTTCTGAACTATATATACTGATGAATAGTTGA